AAACATAACCGGCACACCGCCAAAACATGACCAGGACACCATCACAACAGAACCGGGACACCATCAAAACATGACCGGGACACCGTCACAATAGACCGGGACACCATCAAAACATGACCGGAACACCATCACAACATGACCGGGACACCATCACAACATGACCGGGACACCATCAAGACAGGACCGGGACACCATCACAACATGACCGGGACACAATCAAAACACGATCGGGACACCATCACAACATGACCGCGCCACCATCACATGATCGGGACACCATCAAAACATGACCGGGACACCGTCACAACACGACCGGGACACCATCAAAACATGACCGGGACACCATCACAACATGACCGGGACACCATCAAAACATGACCGGGACACCATCAAAACATGACCGGGACACCATCACAACATGACCGGGACACCATCAAAACATGACCGGGACACCATCAAAACATGGCCGGGACACCATCACAACATGACTGGGACACAATCAAAACATGATCGGGACACCATCACAACATGACCGCGCCACCATCACATGATCGGGACACCATCAAAACATGACCGGGACACCGTCACAACACGACCGGGACACCATCAAAACATGCCCGGGACACCATCACAACATGACCGGGACACCATCACAACATGACCGGGACACCTTCAAAACATGACCGGGTCACCATCAAAACATGACCTGGACACCATCAAAACAGGACCGGGACACCATCACAACATGACTGGGTCACAATCAAAACATGATCGGGACACCATCAAAACATGACCGGGACACCAGCATCACATGACCCGGACGCCATCAAAATATGACCGGGACACCATCCGCCCACTAGCTCTGACGGTGACCCGACGGCGCCCGTCCGCCTATTAGTTTTGCAATACCCCATAGCATGGCTATTGGGGAAATACCAACCGTGCATTCTCAAAAAGAGAGGCAAGTTCTTAAGCTTGATTCAGCTTCGAACTGTTGCCGGTTTCCTTTCGACCCTCCTTGTGCTGGCCACACAAACAAGAGTCTTTTCTCTGGACATGCCTTTGAGCAAGGCATCCTGCAACTTTGTGCAAACACCATTGGCTGCATCGGTGGGCCCAACAAGAAGTGGTTTGCAGCATCCTGGTCCACTAGTGACTAGTGGCTTTCAAGTTGCATATGTCTACATATATTCTATGTAGCCACTGGAAACCTCAAACCTGGGCTGCGAACAACTCATGGTGCCAAGCTTTGTACAAAGGCCACAAGCGACAAGATCTGTATGAAGACCTTTAGGCAGCAAAGGCCTTCTCGAAAAAAGAACTCAAATGTGTCGGATCATTCCGTCTCTTCGGATCTTGCGCTGGACTTTGCCAAGCGCTTCCTCAGTTTCCTTAGACAGGAGCGCAACTTCGGGATCCTTGGAGAGTCGAGACCAAGAAACCCCAGAATGACCAGTCCAGGTGGCGTCCAGGTGTCCACCCATAGCATTCTGTGGTGCACCCAAAGGGTTTTTACCCCAGATCCCGCCTTCACCACTTTTGATGCAAGTCTAATCTTTGTCTGAAAACCCCATAATTACTGATCTTCCACTGCCTTCCTCTCTGTCTATTTCAATCAACGTTGCTTTCCGACTTGCCTAAGCCTCTTTTTACACCGCACTGAACGCTAGACCGACCTTGTGCCCAGAACACTTCGTGCCGAAGCGCTCTGGGTTTTCGGGGTCCAATGCCTCCAAGGCCTCCAGATCCTCCTGCGCCGCCTCCGGGCGCCGCAGCGCCACCGCCGCCCTGGCGCGGTACAGGTGCCCGACGACCGAGGGGCCTTGATCAAGGGCAGCAGTGCAGCACCTCAGCGACACTTAGAGAGGTGGGAGGAGGGCGGTTTTGGGAGGGACGGTATAGGACTTGTTCGCACATTCCAAATAAACCGGTTGGATCTGGTATTTCTCTTCAAGTGAAGGGAGGTCGATTTTTTCAGAGCGGAGATCGCACCACGGTTTAAAGACAAACATCGAAACTGTGAGTCCAGCGACTCGATGACAGCATCGTACTCCTCCAAATTCAAGTGGCAGAAAGCGCAGTTCAAAAGGCAACCCTGCTCTGTCTGTTCTGCTTCGCCCGCTTGGCCCGCAGAAAGGCTGTCGCGTCCTTTTAGAAGATTCCGTGCTTGCTCAAAAAGGTCGATCGCCTCAACCCAAGCACCCTGACGGATCAGCAATAGACCTTGCCCAAAGGACAGCAGTCAGCTTGAAAACGCCGCAAAACGAAGAAACCTTGCCCGCTACACCCTCTACAATCTACAGAGATCACACCAGCATACACCAGCTCGCCTTTCGGAGAAGCAAATTGATTTGACTACAACACATGTGCAACTAACATGTCTACAATTCAGCAAAATGAAACGTCCGGTCCGCTCCCACCTTCTTCTTGAAGCTCCTGAGCCCCTTGAAGATCAGGAGTCTCATCCTGTTTCTGAAAATGCTCCACCGTGCGGTCAACGTCCCAAGCTTTAATCTCAGCATCAATACCAGAGGTGGCCACTAATGGCAGTTCCGGATGAGGCGCTATGCAATTCACCACACAACGATCTGCTGGCATCTTCCGTAGCAGTTCAGAGGACGTTGTTGACCAAATATAAAAGTGGCCGCAATCACCTCCCGAACCGACAGCTGAACCTTGGCACAGGAAGCGGACTTCTTTGGCACATGTTTGTTTGTTGATACGCCCTGTATAGCTTCGGATGGAGTTGAGCTGGACGCGTCCAGTGGGCAAGCTGCTATCAGAGACATCCAAATGAGAGTCCGAAAGTCGAACCTCTGGTCCTTCATCCACTGATCCCTGAAAGTCAAACAGCTCGATGTCGCCACCTCGATAATTGGCCAACAAGAGTCGCCCAGTCGCATCCCAGGAAACTCCTGAGATAGAAACCTCCGATTGTCCGGAAAAAAATCGAGAGAAGGACATGGCTTTCTTCTGCTTGCGGACCATCGGCAAGGTGGAATGCAACGAAGTCACCGGGGACAGGGGCATGTTCACATAAGAACTCTCATCTTGGAAAGAAAGAGTTCGAATATCATAGATGCGAAGAAAGGGATCGTTTCCTCCGACAGCCAAGCTGTGGCCATCGGGATTTGTTGCTAACCCTGCCAGGCCCACGTCCTGGGTGTTCACCACCAGGTGATGCTGCCTCTCCCTGAGGTCGAAGTGTCGGATGTAGCCGTCGCCAAAGGTCACCAGGAAGACTTTGCTGTTTCTTCCAGAAGGGAAATCAATCTTGAAAGCTAAAGCTTGAGAGATGTCCGATTGAAAGAGTCGTTCTTGCCGACCATCGAGAGATGTCAAACAGACATAGCCATCTGCACCACAAGAGACGATTTGCGTCTCTAAGAGGTGGGCATCAAAAATATTGTGTCTGTGAGCAGTTGCCAACGATGCAACTGGCTTCAAATCGACTCCAGGGCCGCCGCACAAGCGCCAGAGCTTTAGGGTCATGTCGTCACTGCCACTTACCAAGACTTCACCGTGAGAAGACCAATGAATTGTGTTCACACAACCTCGATGACCAGAAAGAACAGATTTCAACTCGTAGCGTTGAACCCACGCAGCATTCATCTGGAGGAGCCGTCGCTTCTTGACAGCTTGCACCTCGCGCAGACATAGGACGGAGAAAAGATTGTTCTTAGGACTCCTCTCTGTTCGGAGCCCCAATGAATCGGGGTGCAATCTGTTGCACATGGCAAACGTCGACGTCAATCTATTGTGGAAGAGTATCAAAAGCTGAAGAAAGCAGATTCAGAAAGGGCAATAGATTGCAGGACATGCATGCAGCTGCACGAAAACGCGCAAGCCTGGATAGGAACGTCGAAACACAAAAAAGTATACAGTAGAGAGGCCCAAGATCCTAGATTTCAACAATGTCCCCCAACCTACAGAAGCCACGCAAAGGAATAGCATCTAAATGTTGAAATGGCAAAGCAAACGCATGTGGCTTTGTGTGACACTTTGCCTTTGTGGCAGCAAGAACAAGTTTTATAGGTCAAGTATATAATTGGACGTTGATGTGGGAACCCTTCAAAGCCAACCATGCCCAGTGTGCACCCTCCGACTCTTCCACTTGCCTGAGAAATGGTGCCAAAACGCCAAGTAGCTCTTCCACCTTGAGATCCCCACCGATCCCAACCAGCATCCATCAAGGAACAAGCCACTCAGCCAGTTGAAATCACCAGAGCCGTCAGAGTAACTTACACGATACAACGATACCAAAACTTCTTGTTTCTAAACCATTCTCACTGCAAGTAAGGCAAAGGCGAGCAACTTGCAACATCCCCTGCACCGTAGCAGCGGTGTCAGCAAATCTTAGCGATTGATGAGGATAGATCTTTACCAAGTGCGACTTCAAGTTCCGATGTCAGCTGCATCTGATCGATGTGGTGTTCAATAAAGGATTTTGGCGATCAAAGAAAATAAAGCAAAATAGGATCTTGATCTGACATTCCTTCCAAGACTGCTTTTGAGGTCTTTACAATGTGTATATATATATATATATGACTTCAACGCTAGCTTGAGCCTTTCGGAGCAGTGCATAGGAAAGCAGGGGCGACACAAGATCTGCCTCTTTAGTGATTCTTCGCTACCTCTTGACTTTGTTTACTAGTAGCTTCTTGTTACTAGTAGTAAGAATGCTCCTGGTAGTATGGCCAGGAGCCCCTAGTAGCGTTCTTGCTCCTAGTAGCGATGCCAGGAGCCCCTGCTAGCGTCCATGCTCCTAGTAGACTTTGTTTGGATGGATTCCCTGGGAAATGGAAACGTCTTCTCTTTGCTTCAAACGGCCTTTCAGGCACACTGCAAGGCTGGAAGCTGTTTCCTAAAGCCCAGCTTCACCAAATGGCCGGTTGGATCTTCCGTTCAACTGAGGATCCTTTGGATCTCAAAGCACGGAGATGGCTTTGTGGCTCGAATCTGGAGCCTTAAAGTGTTTCAAAAAAAATCATTTTGAGACAAAAGAATTAAAAAATGGCACAATGACTTGTGACCAGTCCTTGGATCACTGGGGCTCTGGCACAACAGGCATCCAATTTAAGGCTCTGGAAGACAAACTTGCTGAAGCCAGACCTGGAAGCCCAATCTCCACATCCTACTACAAGTAACTCTGCGACTTGTTGGGTAAACGCTGAAGGGAGGAAGAGAATGGTTTAAGGGCCCCTTTAGCTTAACGGTTCCAAAAAAATCTGGGAACCAAATCGTTAAGGCGCAGGCTTCTTCAAGGAAGCTCCTAGTAGCGTCCTTGCTCCTAGTAGCGATGCCCTTTGCTCCTAGTAGTAAGGCCAGGAGCCCCTAGTAGCTTCTTGTTACTAGTAGCGATGCCAGGAGCCCCTAGTAGCTTCTTGCTCCTAGTAGAAGGGGAGTTCTGCGGAGATTTTGTTGACTGTTGTCTGTTATGGTTCGATGTTGCTGATCAACGTTTGTTCCTTGCTGTTGAAGTTTTATGTGCGGAGGGGTTCTGATGTTTTGGGGGTTCGAACTTTCACTGGAGCTTGTCATTGATGTGATTTAATGTTTGTATCCTTAATCTCTCCCCTCAGGCAGGGGGGGCTTCCTTGAAGAAGCCTAGCCCTAGCCTGTCTCCGATCGATATTAGCTTCCTTGCTGCTCCTTACCCTTTAGCTACTTCCAAGCTACTACTAGGTACGACCTAAAGCAAAACCCATTTACTCTCAGATTGATTCTCTTCCCTGAACCTCGGCACATCAAGTCGCAGCTAGTAGTAGGGGCTCCTGGCATGGCTATTAGGAGCAAAGGGCATCGCTACTACGGGCTCCTGGCCTTACTACGAGGAGCAAGCACGCTACTAGGGGCTCCTGGCCTTACTACTACGTAGGAGCAAGCACGCTAAAGAGAATTCTTTGGAAGGATCGTCAAGCGGATTGGGAATTGGGAATAAGCTAACCTACCAACAAGGCATTCAAATCCTGCTTTGTGGGTGGACGCGTTGCTGATCCGTTCAACCTCATGTTTCCGGGTCTGAGCATCCCGCATGAGTGGCTCTGCAGGTGGCTCTGCACCACGCCTCAATCAAGCACAGAAAAAAATGTGTAAGTCATCCAAACAAATCCATGTTTTGGCAATGCTGTTCTTTCCCAAACATGTCAACGGGGTCCGATGAAATCGCCAGCCCAGTTTTTGCGCGAGGTCAATGAACACGCGCCAAAAAGCGTTTGTACAGTACCTCTCATGTATTTCGCGTCGGACTATTCAACCTCCTTCAAACACTTCAGCTCCACAGGCGATGCGCTCCCGAGAGCTTGTGCAGCCACCAAGCTGCTTCTCTGACGGGAAGATCACCTGCAAGTTTCGCTACTCACTAGCACATGCTGTGGCAAGGCTCGAGGCAAAAGGACAATTCCGAAAGATTTCTTGGTCATTGAAACATGTTAAGATCCATGGTGAACCATGCTCTACGCCGCCTGAGGCTGAGGGCTGATCCCCTGAGCACAGGAGTCCTCGTCTGCCTCAAGGGCTTTGAGGCGGATGCTGAAGTCCCTCGAGATGTACCTGATGTTCGACCGTGACTAAGACATGTATATATATATATATATATCATATTATATAAGTCATGTAATGAAACTGTGCTTAACATGACATGTACCTGTGAAGAGAAAGTCGGGAGAGTGCAAATCGGCAGGCCCCACTGCTCTGACCATCTGGCAGTGCTTCTCTCGCCTGTGCTTTGATTGAATTAAGCACAGATTCCTCCCGATGGGTTTGCTGTGGTCTTGGACCGGAAGGGCACTGGTACAGCCACAAATCCATGGGTGCCAAGACGCGCAGCCTGGGCAAACATTTGGGTCGGGACTTTAATTGCATGTTGTTGTTCTTTTTGATTGAGATATGTTTGTTTGGTGGTCTGTGTGGTTCTCAATGGTAGAATTTTGTCTAGAAGAGTCATCAAAAGCCAAGAATGCAATCTAAAACTCATCAAAGATATATTTCAATATTAAGGTCACAAAAATAGCGATGTTACCAGAAAAGTTATCAAAAGTAGCGATTGTAATGGGTCAAAATGAAAGATTTTTTGACTAGTAAAGTCATCAAGAGCAGAGAATTCAGTAGACAATTCATCAAACATGTTTCAGGAGAAAAGTTATCAAAAGTAGAGAGTTTAAGGGGAAAGGCATCAAAAGTAGAGATTCTGACTAGAAAAGTAGTAAAGTCATCAAAACCCATACAGAAGCCAAAAGCCACAAAAGCCACACAACCCAAAAGCCACACAGAAGCCAAAAGCCACAAAAGCAACAGAAGCCAGAAGCCACAAAAGCCACAGAAGCCAAAAGCCACCAAAGCCACCTAACCACAAAAAAACTAGAATTCCCATCTTTAAAAAAATCTCAAAATCACCCTCCATAGTGCGTGACTGACTGACTGACTGACTGACTGACTAGTAGCTTCTTCTTACTAGTAGGATGGCCAGGAGCTACTAGTAGCTTCTTGTTACTAGTAGCAATGCCCTTTGTTACTAGTAGCTTCTTGGTACTGGTACAAAGGTCAGACACCTCCATTCCACCTTGAAGGCTTCTTGAAAACGGAGCTGTTAGCGCTTCCCTCGACAAGGCACGCTGCATGGATCTGTTGGAGTTCTTCTGCACCTCGTCCAATCGTCAAGGAATTGATTGATGGATTGTCGGGGAGTGCGATCTCAAAACATTTTGGTGCGGAAACTGCGAACAAAATCTGCCGAGCGCCATGGACTGCCTTTTTTTGTTTCAGGCTTCCGGGCGTTGTTTTTGGACATAGCCAGCGTTGAGGCGTCGGATCTGGCTCGCAAGAGGCGAGCTTGCCGTCCAGTGAATCCAGGCGATTGGTCAGATTGATTGTTCCTAGTAGCGATTCCCTTTGTTCCTAGTATCCCCTAGTAGCGTCCTTGCTCCTAGTAGTAAGGCCAGGAGCCCCTAGTAGTGTCCTTGCTCCTAGTAGTAAGGCCAGGAGCCCCTAGTAGCGTCCTTGTTCCTAGTAGTAAGGCCAGGAGCCCCTGGTAGCGTCCTTGCTCCTAGTAGCGATGCCGGGAGCCCCTAGTAGCGTCCCTGTGCCTAATAGTAGTAAGGCCAGGTGCCAGGAGGCCCTAGTAGCGTCCTTGCTCCTAGTAGCGATGCCGGGAGCCCCTAGT